GAGTGATATTTTGGGGAATAAACTGCAGTGGTGGGTTGGGATGAGAAAAGTGATAGGCCGTGAATGGCCTCTAGGGAATCTGGACTTTTTGTTAAGTCAGAGTGTAGTAGGAGTGATGTGAGCACACTTGAGGGTGGTGGTGGTACCCAAGCCAGCAGAGGGAAGGGTGGCTGGGTGCGTGAAAGTCGGTGTGGGATGCAGACTGATTGACTAGTTCAGGCAAGAGGTGATGCTTTTCTTTCTTCTTTCTTCTTTGTTTAAAGTTGTGCCAAGTCCTGGGCCCTGAGGTGCCAGGAGTTTCCTTACAGAACCTCTTGATTGTGTTTTTTAGTGGTGCTGAGAAAGAGCGTTCTGCAGGCTAGGTGACTATGCTTCCCTTCCCAGTCCTCTTTGATGATCGGAGATGAAGAAATGAAGTTTAAAATAATAAAAAGAAAAGCAAGCCTCATTTCTTGGGGGTGTAAAGTAACATGTTAAAGCTGCATGTCATTTCATTCTTAAAATGACCCTGTAGGGGTCAAACACTTTTTTGTTGTTTGTTTATTTGGGACAGGGTCTTGTTGTGTAGCTCAGGCTAGCCTTGAGCTCACTATGTAGCCCTGGCTGGTGCCAAAGTCATGGCACCACTCCTGCCTCAGCCTCCCAAGTGCTGGGATTATAGGCACGTGCACCTACACCTGGCTACCAGTTGGCATCCTTAAATGCTCTGTCATAAAGAAGATTATGTGGGGCTTCAATGGGTTGGAATTTACTTGAGGTCATGCAGCTGGTGAGCAGTCAAGCAGGCTCCAGAGGTTGCACTTGTAACCATCGTTCGCCTATGTGTCCTCAATGTGGGCTTCTCGGGATATCCCATAGGAAGGGCCCTGCATCACCATGCTGGACGCCCTGGTATTAAAGATCTTGAGGGAGGGTAATGGATAAAGACCCAAGGTTATTCAACTTAATTTCCAGTCTACTTCTGGGTCTGGTTAGCAACCTGTGTCTTGGTGGAAACTAGGTATGTAGAGAGGGGAAGGCTAGGAGGAGAAGTTGAAGTAGAAATGGTTAAGATGCGACATGTACATGTATGAATTCACCAAGAGAAATGTGATTATTGTGTATCACAAAAATACCAATAAAACAATCAGAAAACAAAAAAAGTAGAGAATGAGCTGAACACCTTGTCCTTTTCAACAGGACTAAAGAAAAATCCTGCAGGCTGAGGCAAGGAGAGCAGGTGAAAGTTAGGGTTGGGTGGAAGTGTATCAGAAAGTTAGAAGTAGGGTACACTGATGTCCTCAGGGAGCTGACAGAGGGGGAATCTTTTGCCAACCTGGCATTGGATGAAGATATGACAATAAAAATAAATGGAGGGGAACAGAAGCAGTTGCCTCAGTTCTTACTACATAGGCCGCTTGCTTAACAGTTTTGTATGGTTCATCTCCTTACTTGCCTCCCTGTCCCTGAGATGGCCCTGTTCATTCCATTTTATGGACAAGATCATGCATCTCATGGAGATTTTACAGCTTGCCCACAGTCCTCCCCAGGCCGTGTTGGCTCATCCCTGGGCCTTCTGACCTGCAGAGTGCGTATTTCCCACTCTCTATATTTTTCTCTCTGAAAGGGTTATTAACATGTTGACAGCTGGGTATGGTGGCACACACCTGTAATCCCAGCATTAGGAGGCTGAGGCACAGGGATTATTGTGTGTTTGAGACCAGCCTGGGCTACAATGTGAGCTCAAGGCCAACCTGAATTGCATAGTGAGACCCTGTCTCAAAAGGAAAAAAAAAAAAATTGGCAAAATGAAGTGAGGATAAAGAGGTTTTCACAGAATAAGAAGAAATGTATATTTAAAAAAATACATCCTAGAATGCAAGGGTTTAGGTTATTTTTATTATACTTGTTTTCCAGCTTTATTGAAGTAGAATTGACAGCAGTTGTGTGTGTTCAGGGTCTACCTGGTGATTCCACGCATACACGTTATGCAGCGACTGCCACAGCCAAACTAATGAAAATAGCCAATGCCTCACAGAGGTTCCCTACGTTGCGTATATGGCGAGGACACCTGTGCTCCATGACTACAAGCAAGCAATGTAGAACCAACAGTAGTCAGCACACTGTGCGTTAGATCCTCAAAACTTACTCGTAACCAAAACTTTGAGCCCTTTGGCCGGTGTCTTCTCATCCTACCTTCTCCTACATCCCACTCTCCACATCTATAAGTATGACCTTTTAGATTCTATACAAGTGACACCTTCTGTGTCTGGCTTATTTTACTCAATGTAATGTTTTCTAGGTTCATTTTATGTTTAGTAAATAGTAGGATCTCTCTCTCTCTCTCTCTCTCTCTCTCTCTCTCTCTCTCTCTCTCTCTCTCTCTCTCTCTCTCTCTTTTTGGTGGAACCAGGGATTGAATTCAGGCCCTTCCGCTTGCTAGGGAAACACTTATTCCACTGAGCCATCTCCCCAGCCCCTTCCTTCTCTCTTAATGGTTGAATAGTCTTTTATTTATAATTCTCCTGTTATTTATGATGGACAATTGAGTAATTTCCATATCTTACTACTATGAATACTTGCACATTGTTACTATGAATAATTACTACTATGAATAATTGCACATTGTTTTATTTCTAGTCACAGTTCCTTTCTTATAGGAATAGGGACTTGGGCTGGGGAGATAGCTTGGTGGTCTAAGTGCCTGTCTGGCAAGCACAAAGACCCGGATTTGATCCTCAGTGCTGCATGTTTTGCTAGCCCTGAAACTGGGGGTGTGGTGGTGCACGCCTGTGATTCTAGGCTGAGACAAGAGGATCAGTAGGAGTCTGAACTGCACAGCGAGACCCTCTATCCAATAGATAGATATAGATAGAAACTTATCCAAGGAGTTGGGCTGGCGATTGAACACATGTATTTAGGGAAATGAATAATTTTATTTATTTATTTAAAAACAATTGTTCGTAGTTACTCTTGTGGGGTAGATACAGTCGCTTGGGTAAAAGAAGGGGGCACTTGCTTTGGGGGATTGTTTTGCTGAAGAATTTGAGTGCATTAAGCATCTCTTTATTGAAAAGGAAAATATTTAGAAGACTGGCTCTCAGACTGGAGCCTGTTGGATGAAAGTCAGCTATGAACTTACTGGCACACAGATTCTGGAGTCTTCCTCAGAGATGGTGAGTTAGTGGGCCATGGTGTGGATTCCAGGAGGTTGCCTTCTTATGGTGGCACTTAGGTTGACAGTTTTTCAGGTCTTCCTCTGATTGTACTTTATAAATGTTGGGTTAGGAAAGGAAGGCTGCAAAGGGAAAAAACAAAAGCATCCTAAAAATAACTGGGTTCAGAAGGCATCAAGGAGAGAAAAAGAAACAGGGACGACTAGGAAGTGTAGAAATTGATAAACTTAAATCCAAATTAAAGTTACATAAAATACAAACAAAAAGTGTCAACTTTATGCTGTTGAGAGGAACAATATAAAATGTATGTAGAAAGTAATACAGTTGAAAGAATGCATGTTAGAGATGATTTTAGAAAAATCTGTGACAAAGACCTGTGTGGCTGCTTAGTGAGACATGAGAACAAGGCTGTGTGGAGCAGTTGCTTCCACACAGAGGGGAAACAGGCTCAGGACAGGGAGCAGGCAGTGCTCAGACTCCGTCAGTCTGGAGCAGAAGCACAGAGCTGACCCACCTCTGGCTGCCATGCACGTGGAGGGTTTGTACCAGCAGGTAGTGTGGCCATATCCTTTTTCTTTTCTTTTTTTTTAATTTTTATTTATTTGTGTGTGTGTGTGTGTGTGTGTGTGTGTGTGTGTGGCCAGCTCAGCCCACCAGGGAGCGGGGCTGGCTGGCATGTGGTGCTGGGGGATTGAACCGTGGTCCCTGTGCTTTGCTAAGCTTGTTCTAAGTAGGTGCTTTAGACCACTGAGCCATCTCACCAGCCCGCCATATCCTTTTTCTGCAGGGTCCCCTCCACTGGCAGCTGTAGCTGGAGTCAAGGATTTTAGTTCAATATAAAATGCTCAGGAATTGCAGAGGCAGCAGCCGCTAGGTGTACTGGCCCCAGAGAAAGGCTGCGTTGCTCCCTGGTGGGCTTACCAGGAACAAGGGGTGGGCTGGCTGGGCACGTGGGAGGCTGAGGCTGAAGGACTGCTGTGAGTTCGAAGCCAGCCTGGGCTGTATGGTGAGTTCAAGGCCAGCTGGACTACATAGTAAGACCATATCGGAAAAAAAAAAAAAAGTGTGTGTGGGAAAGGTCACACTAACCAGTGTATGGGTTCTGTTAAAGAGACTGATTCAGCAGGTGGACTTTGAGCCCTAACCAGAAAGTACCTTACAGGACTGGGTATGGACCAAATAGCGACAGTTGTGGTGTTTGTCCTCAAGGGTGTGCAGTCCAGATGAGGGGCAGTATACTGTAACCAAAGTAAATATTTTGGAAATCAAGCAGATATGGAGGGCTTCTGCCAACCTGCCAATTTGGTGGTGGCCTGCCCACTTCTCTTCCTGGTTGCCAAGGCCAGTGAGGCTTGTATGTGCCTGTTGCCTTGTCATAGAAGTAGCAATGGTTAAAATGCCTTTCCTACTTTTCCTGTCTAAGCTAACATCCTTCATTTCTAGGGATCACCACGACGTCTTTGCTTTTCAGCTTGGTACTTAATAGCAGTTCTGATACTCTAGTATATATCTTCTTTCCCATTATTTGCAATCTCCCGTAGAGTATAAGCTCTGTGTGGGTGAGAACTTGATTTTCCCCACATCTAGCGCAGTGCTTGGCATCATCAGAGGAAGGGCTTTGGAGATCTGACTTGTGTCAGGAACTATGCTCACTTTTTAAAGGACATTATCTCATTTTAATTTAAGAATTTGAGGTAAGCACCATCCTATTTTACAAATGATGATATTAAGGCTCAATGGGATTAAGAAAATGATCCGGGGTAGGTGGGGGAGCTGGAATTTGAATGGTGGATTGACCATGAAACCCTTTAGTGCTGCCTTACTCAAGTGTTCTTTCTTCTGCAGGGTCCAGGGACATGGCCAGAAAGGCTCTCAAGCTTGCTTCATGGACCAGCATTGCTCTTGCTGCCTCTGGGATTTACCTCTACGGCAACAAGTACTTGGACCCTAATGACTTCGGTGCTGTCAGGGTGGGCAGAGCAGTGGCTACGGTAGGTTTCTCTCATATTGGAGGTAGCAGAGGAACTGTGGCACTACCTGCAGGTGTACTGACACGTGGGCAGGCAGGTCGAATGTACATACCATGACATGTGCCAAAGCCACATAGCTGCCGAAACATGGAGATGCATCCTCATTCCTCTGCATATAACCTCTGTCATCCTGAGGCAAAAGAGAATGTGATGCGTGAGGTCTCTCCTGAACCTTTACATTTTAGGTTCTGTATCTTATTATAGTGATAACTCCCGGGGCAGCAAGCACTTTTCAGCAGATGCAGGGAAAGATTTTATGGAAAGAAGACTTTGCTGGTTAACTTCTGCCAGCAAGCTTGATGTCATGCTAGTGAGTCAGTGTGAATGCTTCCAGGTACTCTGAAGCATGGATGGCGAACTGTTTAGAGCTTTCAGTGGTAGAGACAGCCTGCTGTGGCATGCATTCCATGGGTTTGCCACCACTGCTGTGGCACATCCAAGCCCTGAAAAGCTTTGAGAATCTCCTTGGCTCCTCAAACAGAAACAGTGAATCCAAGTTAGATATTGGATCTTTAGAGCTTTCCTCCAGTGGCTCAGTAGCATCATTGTTCCGTTGTGATCATGTTTTCCTGACTCTACAGATAGCAGTTGCCCCAGAAATTGCTATGGAATTGCTCCATGAGTGAGTATATTGTCACATGCTGGATGCTTCTTGTCCTTTATCTCCTTCAGGTGAGCTTGTCCTTTCCTCTCTTTAATGTGGCTATGCATCCAGATGCAGCTCTTATTTGAGTTGTTGTCTAATTAATTCCTTAGTACTTGGTGCTACCAAGTGTCCTGTTGAGCACAACTCACAGGGAAGCCTACTGACATGGCACCTGTGCTCAGGGCTGAGCTGAGCTTTAGAATCAAGATAGACAAATTGGCTTTGGATAAACAGGCTAGGAGAGACGAAACAATCCCTAGACAACACTCATCATTGTCTTATGGGCTTTGATGGGTAGAAAGCAATTTCCCACCTGACCCAGCTTTGAAGGAGCTTCTGTATGGCCTTAAAGGAGTCTCGACCTAGCTCTGAAGGAGCCTCTGGCCATGGAATGCGCACAGGAATGAGTTACAAAGCAATCAGTTAAGAACCACACATGTCAAGATCACAGCTACCGTCAGCTACAGAAGTGAGCACTGGGACTGGGAATCCAGGTGAATGTCTCAGGGAAAGGCTTGAGTGGAACCTTATACCCACATGGTTAGAAGGAAGTGAGGAGGGCGTCATCTGGTGCCTTATAAAACAGTGCTAAGATATGCATTCTTTTTTTTTTTGGTGGTACTGGGGATTGAACTCAGGACCCTGCGCTTGTCAGGCGAGCACCTATTCTACGGAGCTATCTCCCCGCCCCCCTTTCTTGTACCAAGGTTTGAACTCAACACCTTATGCCTACCAGGCAGGTGCTTGTACCACTGAGCTATCTCTCCAGCCCAAGCTATGCATTCTGTAAAGGGCTCTGGTACATTCGTCACAGTGACCTGGGGGTTGGTATTTAATGAGTATATGTGAAGTGGAATTATGCCTCAGAGAGTACAAAGAATCATTCTTTAACATAAATCTTATAAGCTCCTTAATTTCAAGGGTTCTCAGTTGCTCAGTTCTGAAATAGAGATTTGGATTAGATAATCCTCAAGGTTCCTCCAGGCCTGAGATATCTAGCAGTTTGTACTTCTTTGATTCACCAAGGATAAGGGAACCTGTTCACAATTAAAGCTTATGCTCTGAGGGCGAGGGAGATGGCTCAGTAGAATAAGTGCTTCCCTGGCAAGCTCAAGGCTCTGAGTTCAATCCCTGGTTCCACCAAAACCAAAAACAAACAAAAAACTTACGCTGTTAGACCAAACATAAATGTAAGAGAATGTTTATTTGTGATATCTTTATTTTAAGTATAATGGCGCTCATTCAATTAGTATTTATTGAGATTCTGCTCATGTTTCTGATGGTGTAAACTATGCTGGGGGTACTGGGAAGAGCTGAAAGGATCAGCTCTTGTGTTTATAGAGCTTCAATTCAGAGACTTCATAAGCAAGGAGGGAAATGAGCAGGAAACTTTCAGGTGCTGGATTATTATGATAAATAATCAGGAGTTCCTGGTGGATTGGGGCAGTCTTAGCAAGACCTTTCTGCAGAGGAGGCATTTGCGCTGAGCCCTGAATGCTGGGAAGAAGAGGCTGAGCTCCCAGGACAGGACCTCTGGGGGAACTGGAGCCTTCTGCAGATCTGGTAGCCCATAGGGGCCTTCAGCTGCAGGGCTTTGGTGTCTGCATGCTAAGCTTTTTCTTCCTTTCCCCTCACAGACAGCTGCCATCAGTTATGACTACCTCACTTCCCTAAGGCATGTCCCCTATGGCTCAGAGGAGTACTTGCAGCTTCGATCGAAGGTAAGGGAACAGTGGGCCCCATCTCAGCCCGGACAGCCAGCAAGCTTCCTGTGGGCAGCTGGAGGCGAGAAGAGGGCAGAGGGGTATTGACATGGGGGCTGGCGTGGGGGTTTGGCAGGAAGGAAGGGCGCTATCTCCTCCTGCATGTGGAGGTGTTTTAGTGCCTCTCAGTGGGGCTGTCAGGTCTATATCAAGCTGGGTCTCTCAGTGTTGAGGTTGTCATCTATGAGGTGCTGGAGGGTAGGCTGGTGTGTGTTCCTGGTCAGGGCAGTTGTGGGAGGTCTCAGGAGGAGTGTGTGCTCTGTTCTAGATAGTTTTTCCTTTTCTCTTTTCCTTTCTTTTTTCCTTTTTTCTTTTCCCCTTTCACCTCCCTGGTCCTTATTATTTTATTCTAAGAGAGGGTCTAACTGTGTAGCCCAGGTTGGCCTCAAGTTTACAATCTTCACGCCTTAGCCTCCTGAATAGCTGGGATTGTAAGCGTAGATCACCCAGCCTGTGGGCCTCTGACAACTTCTAGATGGCCTTCTTAGCCAGAATCCAATTGAAAGAGATTAACGGCTGTCCTGTCCTTTGAAGGCCACTGGGAGACTCTGTTAGGGACTCTGTCAGCCCTGTGCTCTGTGTGCTCCCTTAGCTAGGTGACTGTTTTGGACACTATATCCAGATACCCTAGAGTCAGAGGACCCAGCAGGCGGGCATTTTTGTGGGCTTAGGTTGAGCAAAGATACTTTTGACGCTTCCGGAGAGTTTTGGAAAGACTGGCTTGTCTTGGCCCAGGTGGTCCCCTCAGCCTGGAATGCTCCTTTGCCCCTTAGAAAATTCCTTGTCATCCTTTAGACTGACATCTGTGATGCTTTTCTTCTCAGGCAGCCTTTGTACATGTGATAATTAATTTTATAATTGGTATTTAAACTTTTCATTATGGAAGTTTCGACCATCCACAAGAATAGATAAAATAGTATCATGAACCCCTTTGGAGCTGTCATCTAGCTTAAGAAATTATCAATTTTTAGCTCATCATTTATTCCTGTATTCATTCTTTCTTTTGTTTTTTATCCTTTTTTTTTTTTTTTGCCAGAATATTTTAATGCAAATCCCAGGCATCTTATTGTTTCATCTCTAAAAGTATGTATCTGTTAGAGATACATACTTTAGTATGTATCTCTAACAGATAAAGACTTTTGAAAAAACATAACCATGATACTAAGATCATATACGATTAGCATTCTAGGGCTGGGGAGTTAGTTCAGCAGTCTAAACATCTGCCTGGCAAGTGTGAGGACCTGGGTTTGATCCCCGGTACCAAATGCCGAATGCTGTGCTAGTCTGAAACCGGGCGGGGTGGTGCACACCTATAATCCCAGCTCTGGGGAGGTTGCGATAGGAGGATCATTAGGAGTCTGAACTGCATAGTGAGACCCTGTATCTAATTAGAAAAAAAAAAAAAAAGATTAGCATGCTTGCCAGTCATGGTATCACACACTTGTAATTTCAGCGCTCAGGAGGTTGAGGCAGGAGATCAGCAGTGAGTTCAAGGGCAGCGTGGACTACAAGTGAGACCCTGCCTCAGATCGAACCACACCAAACCAAAGAAAAAGGAAAAGAAAAAAAAAAGTGTAGAGATTCTTTAATAATCTCTGATAGCTAGTTCTGTTCAAATTTCCTTTGGCCATAAGATATCTTTTTATAGTTAGTTTCAATCTGGATCCAAAAAGGTACGTGCATTATATTTGGTTGACCTTTCTGGATCTTTTAAAATCACATAGCATTTTCTTTTCCCCCCTCCCTTTATTTTTATCTTCTTTAAAAAAAATTTCTTTTTAATTCAGCTATTTGCTTGCTGAAGAAACCAGATCATGTTTTATAGAATTTTCCACATTCACAATTTAGCTGATTGCATCCTCAAAGTGTTATCTAATGGAAAATATGTTTAAATGGCACACAATTTAAAATGTTTAATATTTGAAATAAGACAAAATGACCCTCCTACCCTTTTTCTTCAGGTACTCAATTTTCCTGCTGGGAGACAATCATCATTTCTTTTTTTTTTTTTTCCGAACCGAGTATTGAACTCAGCCCATTGCGCTTGCTAGGCAAGCACTTATTCTACTGGGCCATCTCCCCTGCCAATCATCATTTCTTGTGTATCTTTCCAGAGATATCTTTCTATTTGAATTTAATCACTGTGTCTTTATTTTTGCCACAAATGATAGGTGGCTACATGTCTTTGCTTTTGGACTATTGGTTCCTTTATGTCAGAAACTGTGTGTTCTTTTTGTGTATTCTGTGGTTAGTGATGATACCTAGAAGAGAGTTGATTTAATGTCTGCTTTGATGCCAGGCTGTATTGTGCTAGCTCCTTATCTTTGAAGAGGCTCCCAGGAAAAGCGCAAGATCTGCAGCCAGAAGATTTGAGTTTGTGTCTTGGCTTTGGGAAGGCCAGCTAGCCTTTTGGAATTGTTTTTTCTGGTCTATCAACTAGAGGGTTGTACCACTGAGACTTAAATAACATCTGAAACAAAACTGTGCCTTTAAAATATAAAGCAGATAGGAAAATAAGTTTCCTGGAAGATATGCTCCTTGCAGACGGGCTTTGTCTATACTGTGTGGCTCTAGGTCTGTAGTGCTTAAAAGAGCACACACGATGAAGCCGGCTCTGAACAGACTTGAACAATTGGGTGAGTGAAACACTGGTTTTTATTGAAGGATCTTATTTTGGGTCATGTTCTAGAAGTCCTTTCCTGGTCAGGGGCTTGGTGGAAGGGCCTGGCTTGGAGGAAAGCTGCTTACACCATGGCAGACAGGAGCAGAGTAAAGGGAGGAGCCAGCAGGGGAGACACATTCTTCTAGGTCACGTTCTCAGTGATTCTGCCCTTCTGACACCCGCTTCCTAACACCAAGCCCTCTGTGCGGCCCCCATGATCCAGTGACTTTCCTCTGTGGGTGTCTCCTTTGAGCACATGAGGGCCCCTGGGGTGGGGGGGGGAGGCATCTAGATATAAACCATAATTCCTGGGGACTGTCCTGGCCAAAGCTGACATTTCTTCACCATTCTTCTTTCCCTCTATTATTTTAGCCAGCTCTGTGCCAGGCACTGCATAAGGCTCTGAGGATAGGAAGGGAAACAGGCTTCACCTCTGTCTTCAAGCTATGCACTGCCTGCACTGGGGGATGAGAATCCGGTGTCGAATCACCAGCCCCAGAAGGAAGGATTCGTATTTATTATAGCTCTGGCCCCTGGTCTGGAATTATGGCCAGTGACCCCTGACACCAGCTCATTTCTAGCCAAGAAAGGCAGGAGCTCAAGCCCTGCAGGGGGATGGGTGGAGATGGGGTATATGTTGGGGAGGTCTCCTCTGGAGCAGACAAAGCTCACTGTGTTATGGTTCCTTTGCGTGTACCACGCCTGTCCACCCAGTGTGGAAACTTGTCAATGGGTTTTTCACTACTGTGCCCCCAGACTCTTTTTTTGTGACTTTTGTTTGTCATCACTGGGATATTTGCCTGAGAAAGTTCTACAGAGAGGAGGAGGGAAATTGAATCCTTGCTATCTTGGTGACTGGTTTTCTTGGAGCTTGTGATAATTCCTGCAGGAGCATGAGCTGCATTTAATGTTCTCTGGTTGGGTCATCTAAGGATCATTTCTCTGGAAGAAAAAGGCAGTCTGTGATAGAGTCCTGCACCTTCTTTTTACAAAGCTTTCTGCCTACCCAAACCCTTCTGAGGACCACAAATCTGTGATGTTCTCTACAGTGGCCTTGACCCCAAAGCCTTCTCAGTTCTAGAAAAGTTCTACAGGCACAGTTCCTTGGGCCTTGGTGTGGTTTTGGAGATAGTTGGTGGGCTCCACAGACATTGTGGGGGTCCTGGGGAAGATGTGATATAACCAGGCTTCACATGGTAGCATCTCTGTAGGTCCTAGGTGAACGTGCAAAGGCTGGTTACCCTGTCACTTGTCTCAACTTGTTAGTGGCCTATGGACCATGACCAATCACAGCACCCTATTTTGCTATATCTGCATATCTGTTTTTTTTTAAAAAGTGGAATTTTAAGACCTAAGTAAAGGTATAGAAATAATTCACTGATGACCTTTGTACTCACTGCCTAATTTCAGAAATAATATCTTACCTATGCAGTTGTAGCCTGTGGGCACTTCTTTTCTAACTTCAGCCTTCTTTTTGAATAAATAGAAAGCACAGTCTTGAATTCCTTGTCATTGCCATACATTTCTAACTGTTCAGGTATTTCTATGATTTTTTTTCATTTATTGACTTTTTTTGTTTATTTAGTTTTATTTCAGGCAAACTATCTGTGAAATTACAGGTTTGATAGTTCTCTTTCTTTCCCTCTAATACATACAAAAATAAATATTCAGAGTACCATGCCTCTTGGACCATGTATTTTTTTTTTTTTTTTTATAGTTCTGAAGGCCAGAATTCTCAAATCAAAGTACAGATAGGGAAGGCCATGCTGTTTCCAAGGGCTCAAGGAAAGAATCCTTTGCCTCTATGCCGCTGCAGGCATTCCTTGTGGCTGCGTCACTCCAGCCTCTGCTTTTAGTCCTCTGTCTGTCTGTCTGTTTGTGTGTCTGTCTCTTTCTCTTGTACCGGGGATCGAATTCAGGACCTTGTGCTTACCAGGCAGGTGCTTCTGCTGCTGAGCTATCTTTATCATTGGACTGAATGGCTGCCATAATTCAGGATTATCTCATCTAAAAATGCATAGCTTCCTTACATCCACAAGTGTTTTTCCTAACTGCTGGATATAGTAGTGTGCACTTACAATCCCAGCACTGTGGGAGGCTGAGAGAGGAGGGTTGCAAGTTTGAGCCCAACCTGGGCATCTTAGTAAGACCCTGTCTCCAAGTAAAAAATAAACAAGGGTTGGGAATGTAGCTCAGCGTAAAGGCCAAGTTCAGTCCCCACTACTACAAACCAACCAACCAGCCTACCCACTTATTTTTCTAAGGAAGGAAACCTGTCCCAGTCACATGCCTATTT